GGAGAGGGCCTGGGTTCGAATCCCAAGTCCAGCGTTTTATTTTATTAACATTTGTTGATTGCAGATCCCATGTGTACAAGTCCAGTTAGTGCACGATATGGCCTTAAATATAGGCCATCAGCTACCAATGAGGGCAGATTCAATGCTCCTGGGATGCTCCTCCATGATGGACCTCCCAGGAGCCAACATAACAGAATTAAGCCATCCTCTGGGCTCTTGCTAATGGGCCTAGTGAAATTCAGATTCAGCACCCCCTGTTTGCTTAGACATCTGGCTCAACTTCTTTCTCTTGATTTGTTTTTTAATTATTTCTTTTAAATTAAATAAAAATAAAAAATCATAAAAATAATAATGATAATTAGACGTAGGATTTTTTTAAGTTTGTAATTTAATTAATTTAATTATCTTGACTTATTTTTATCAATTTAAAATCAACTAGACATAGATTAATTTAATTCAAATATTTTTCTTAATAAAAACAAACAAAAAATATAATAGAATTAGTTTTGTTTCTTAAATTATTTTTAATTTTGTAATTTAATTAGATTAATTATTTAAACTTTATTTTATTAATTTTAAAATCAATTAGACTTAGGTTATCTTCGTCCAAATATTTTCTTAAATAAAAATACAAAAAAACTTTAGAACTAGGTTAATTTCCCTTTAATATTTATTTTTCCCAATTAAATTTAGGGTTAATTTATTTTAAGCATTTTCTTATCAAAAATAAACAAAAAAAACAACAAAGATTTTTATTTTACTTAGAACTTTTCTTAGGTTTTTTTTAGACATAATATTTTATTTTGCGCTCGTTTATTTTTATTCTCGCATTTTATGTAAATATTATAACTGATTATGGATGTAATAGTTTTAGATTTAAAATTCTGCACTTTATTTCATGCACTCTTTTTTATGTAACTATCCCAAAGAATTGTAATAGTGTAGGTTTCAACTTTCCGCACTTTAAATTTCTGCCAATATTAACTATTAGTAATTAAGATTGTATGATAAGACTGAAAATTAAAACGTTAGCAAACTTAATAATGCAAGATAAATAATTGAATTTAACACATTGCACATGTACACCTCTAAGGTACGCCCACTTTGGTTGCCTTCGGAAAATAGTCATGTCCCTCGAAAATGGGACACTTTAGCAAAGACCCGTAAATTAGAAAGATCATAGTCCCTCAATAATCCTACAGTTGCCTTTCGATAAATGATCTAGTCCCTAAACAAAATTGCTAAAGTGTCTCTTCATGTTGCCTTTATGACTATAAAACGTCCCTTCGATTGTCCCTCAACATCCAACGATAAGGCTACCTACGCACTAATATTAGGATAACATTTTCTAAAGGAAAAGAGGAAAATAACGACCCTTTTCGAGTAACAAAGTAGATAGTTGTTAGAAGTTTGCTCAAACATTTTGCAGTTACACAAAAAATTACTTTTCAAAAACAATTTCAAAACACTTTGTATACTTTCTCCACTATCCCGAGAAACATTACAAAGTTCGTCGTACTACGGCGTTTCCAAAACATTTTCAAACACAAAAAGCGCAAAGGTATTTCAAAATGAGAAAACCTCTAAGAGCCCATGGAAAACCACAGATGGAAAGGATGCTAACACCTTCCCTTTTCATAATATACCCCCTTACTCAGAAAACATCTCGAAAAGGACTTTTTCTGTTCTTTTCACCCTTTCCTTTCTTGGATAAAAGAAAAGTAGGTGGCGACTCTTGCTTACCGCACATTTGTGAATACAAAATGCAAACCAGTATTAAACAGTCGGTTCTGCCACCGTATCACAGATCTGGCGACTCTGCTGGGGAGTTATAAAAAGTGGGGTTACCTTAGATTTAGTTCATTTTAAATTTCTTTTAATTGCTTGCTTTGTTTGATTTACTTTTGAGGGCTTGTTTGGGTTGTTACTATAGATCCTACACCCGGATCTGAGGCACCTTATTAGGTAAGTAGCAATAAATCATGGAGGTTGAACGGTGTAGAACGATACAGACGAAGTGGTGGCTACGTTAGCGCGATACTTTGGATTGTACTAATGTTCCTTGAGTAAGTCAAGGATAATATTATGCTTCCTCATAGTGTCACTAAGCGCTAACTGGCCTTTAGAACCTTTAATTGACTCATCCTAGCCATTAGGAAGTAGTGAGATACCGGATTTGGTTCCGACCGAAGATTGGTTGATACTCGATACTAAACTAATTGAGACTGGACTTTCGGGATTTTTTGGCCGTAATACTTCAGTGTGGAGCTGAAACAATTCCTGAAGGGAAGGTCAGTGATATTGAGACTCCTTAGAACCCTGTTACTATTAATATGACAGGTTGAGCCAACTAAACATTCAAGAGGGTACTTACCTTAAAAACCTCATGCAAGCCTTTAAACCTAAGGTCTATTGTGTGACTTGCTTATGTTTATCTGTGATTTTAAGCATAATCATGACATCATAAACATCATGACATTCATATATACTAATCATTTCAAGGACCTGTGGGATTTACCTCTTTGCTGTTTTGTAGGATATGAATTCATGTCGTAGAAAACCATCCGGATTCACTTCACAGAAGTTCCTCCCAAACTCAAGGAATTAGTCTTGAAAGTTCCCGAGGATTCATCATTCCACAAAAGACATGCTCACTTACTCAGTTTGGTTACCACCTGATTTGACGAAGGTTTGATGAGTGTCTTATTCTAGTTCTTCGACCCCTAAGCACCATTGCTTCATATTCCCCAATTACCAACTGGTGCCTACACTGGAAGAATTCTCTAAGTTACGTGGTTTACCTATATTGGAGTGAGTACCTTTCACTGGTTTAGAACAAGACCCAACATCTGAAAAAGTTGTTGTAGCTTTGCACTTGAAGCCATATGACATTGAGTCCAATTGCGAAAAAAGAAGTGAAGTTAAGGGTAGCCTTGCAAATTTTTGATGAAGAAAGCTCAGATTTTCCTGAATGCTATGAGTTATCATCCCTTCGAAGAGGTCTTAGCCCTCTTGATCCATGGGTTGGTTATGTTTCCTAATTCAGATCAATTTATAGATGTGAATGCCATCAACATTTTCCTTGCTCACAATCCGGTTCCTACATTGCTTGGGGATATCCTACATTATCTTTATACTCGTACTCTGAAGAAGCAAGGTGAAACAACCGGCTGAAAATCATCAAACAATGAAGTCGCCATCGAACATCTTTTATCCCACATGTAGGGAAAGGTAAACATCAAGAAAACCTAAGAAGTGAGAAGTCACAGTCTTGCGACTGAGACATCGGGTAAGGGAGTCTGTTACGCGAGGGGAAGGTATTAGCACCCCATACGCCCGTAGTATTCTACAGTATCCACTCTTGTTATCTATCTTATGGGTGTTTTTAATCTATGCTTACTGTTTACTATATTACTGAAGGGAGAATGCATGCAAAAGAAAGGAGAAAAGAATGTAGGGAAAATAAAATTATGCTCGCTTAGGCCCTACCCCAATGCCTACATATCCGTTTTGAGGAATCAGAGCTACTGTAGTTCGGCTCACATGTTTTTGTTTGTTTGTGTTTTTTAATGGACGAAGTTAATTCCGCCTTTTGCCGCAGCTCGACCTTTGGAGACTTATGCATTGGCACAGAAGTAAATTAATCATGTCCTTACCTGAAAAGGGTTTTAGAGAAAAGGTGCTCGAGTGCACAAAATAGTTTGAATTTGGTTTGTGTTTTATTACCTTGAAAAAGGGTTTAAGTGAGATTAGCATGTTTTTGATTTGCTAAGAAGAGAAGTTTTGGTTTTAGAATGCAAGGATGCCAAAAGGGAAAGAAAAGAGTCTATGGGAGACTAGCCTATCTCTAACCTAATGTTATCATACAATGGTAGTCCTATGTCGAGGATGAACGGGAAGTTTCTACCTACTGTTAGCATGCATGGTTTACAACCTAAGGTCTAAATTGCGTCCGAACGGAGCAAGCACATCCTAAGGGAACATGGTATGTACAAGGATAAAGCAAACCAGCAAGTAAGTTCAAAAGAGCACACCTAGAGAGATCCTATCTAAGTTAGTATGCCAAAGAAAGTCTAATAAAACTATCATATAGGGAACATGCAATGAAAGCGAAGTCGTGATCTCAATTTCTAAATTGAGTGACTCATCGATCAACAAGAAATAACAGAAAGAGATAAAATCCTATAGGGAGCATGCACTGAGAGTGAAGTCGTGATCTCAATTTCTAAATTGAGTGACTCATCGATCAAGAAGAAAGTAAACAAACACAAGAACAACACATATAGCAAATGAAGTGCTGAATGCCTGCTATAGGTTTTTAAACAGTGACTTCGAGTGCACGCTCTTTATTTCCTACTTCTCCTGGTATCTAGAGAAGCGGTAAAGAAGTACGACGAATTGCGGAAATGAGGAATAAAATGAAGTTGCGATGATACCGAACGGAGAAGGTCCGTTGCCTCTTCAAAATCACGCAAGCAATAAGAAAATTCTACTAAGAGCTTCCTCGAATTCCCTTGATGAAGATTAGGCCTCTAACTTCATTTCAAAACCTCTTGAAACTCCTCATTCAAGTTCCTTTTATTCATCAGGATCCCATAAAATTATCATATAATAAATTAAAAATCAATTATAACAATTGTATAAAAGATGGAACTGAAATAAGTATAGAAAATGAATCTTCTGGAGGTGCAAGGCTGAATTCAGGAGGTGTGCTGAAGTAAAGCGCTAAGCCCAGAGTCAGGATAAGCCCAATGCTGCTTTTTTTTGAAGCTACCAAAAAAACAATGGGCCTAAGGAAGCATAGCTTGGTCCCGCAATAAACATCTTCTACCCAAATCTACTTTTCAACATCACTTAATTATTATCCAAAGTAAAATAAAAATAAAAATACGAATTGAACCATGGAGGAACCATTGCGTCTCATATTAGGTTAATAGAGCGGCCGTTTAGCCTCGACTTCCAAACGCGGTTCCTTTCTCTCTGCAATTTCCGGCGGACTCATGGTGTCATCGTCTCCTCCATTCGACTCCCTTCTAAACATGAACCCGACCCAAAATCACTTCCTGAATATGAATATATCATTAATCTCTCATGGAGAACAAGCGAACAGCCAAATCAAAGAGCAAGCGCAACGCCCTAGGTATGTAGACCTCGCAGATTCGAGCTTCGAAAGGCAATTGTAGCTCGAAGCGTATATGATTGAATAGAGAAACAAACTTGATTTAAAGACCTGAGCATTCCGCCGTGGCGGAGAAGGCAAATTTTGTGTATTGACCTTAGGTACATTCTTGCTCCTCTTTCTTCCTGATCTTTTCTTTTTCTACTCCTTCATATTTTGCATTTTTTTCTGAATCTGTGCGTGAACAATAATATGGTACGTTCTATTGTGCAAAAGATGATGCATGGAGATTAAATTTTTTACCGTTGCAGAGTTACTGCATTGAAGAGAAATTGATTGATGATGTGCGTTTGTTGTTGTGTTGAAGATTGCAGAAGTTTGTTGCCGAGAGGGATGAAGGATTTCTTGTGGTTGTTGCAGAGAAGGAAGGTTGATGAAGGTAATGGACGAAGAAGAGAGATTGAGAGAAATTTATGAAGGTAAGGGTGAAGAAGAGTTGCAGATGATGAAGATTCTTGAAGATGAAATAAGAAGTGTTGTGCGATTATGGATGAAGATTCTGAAATGGTTGAAGAGATAGTTTTTCCCAGATTTTTTGGTGATTCTTCTGCAGATTGACGAATGATTCAATTGTAAGGTAATTTTCTGTTATATTCTGTTAGAGTTTGTTAGAGTAGAAGTTACAGATGGATTCAATCAGAGACCTTGATCCTTGATTTTCTGTTATAGATTCAGTGGTTAGATTCAGAGCTAACTTTGCTTTAATATTTTTGTAATTCGTTTTTCTGTTAGATGAGTTGTTATTTGTTGTCAATTAGTTTTATTATCCTCTGATGCAAGGCAGTCCCATTTTATTTTGGTATGGGAATTAGTTTTGAAAATTGATGTGAACTGGTTTTCTTGTTCCTTTGGGTGAATGATTACATGAAGACTTTTTTGTAACAAATTTCTGTGGACTGATTTGATGAACTGGTTTCTTGAACAAAATGCAGGGCTCCCATTCGTTTGAATAAAAATCGGGTCAGATTTTGAGGTATTATCGAAGGGATAAAGAATAGGACGTCCAAGGCATGTGCATTTCTAGAAACTTGAGAAGTGAGCAAGGGTTGAGAACAACATGAAGATTGAAGATGAACAATCATAATCTTAGGATAGTATTTATGGGTAGCTTCTGATGTATGATTTGTAACTTTTGGTAATTTCTATGCAAAGGAGATGGAAATGTGTAATGGCATTGATCATGAAATATAATAATGCTATTTTTCCTTCAAAGGACATTTGAAATTCCGTTTCCTTCCTTTTGAACTTCAATGTTCTTCATGCTTAAATACTTCCAAATGCAAAATACAAATCTGAATGAATGCCTAGAATTACGGTAATGGCAAAGTAATTGTACAAAAGTCCATATGACTTGGCCTATAAAAGTCATTCTTCAAGAGTTGACTCTCTAACCAAATGAGAACATATTTATCCTTGCACCTTTGGAACAAGTCGCATATGAAAAGCCTAAGAGTTCAAAATGGACTTTGAAATTATCCAATGCCTTCAAACTGCCTTCAAACTCGAAATAATTCATAAGACAACAAATGAATTTCAACCCTTGCATCAAATCCGCAATGTTGTATTGTGATGCAAATAACCAAGTGAACCAAACTTTGATGATGATAAACAAAAGAAACCCTAGATATGAGAAATGTGTTGTATGAAAGCCATGAAACCAAACCCTTAAGATCCTCATGATAACCACTTGGCATACAGAAGTAAATCTTTATCCCTGATTAATGAAAGTACTTGTTGAGACAGAACCCTAACTCACAATATCCTCCTTCAAAGCGTTGTAAGAAACCATTTCAATATCATAAACATAATCCATTTTCTTTTGAGGCATCTTGATGAAGAAGTTTGATGAAAGAAAAAGTTACCAATGAATATGAACATAGAACCCTAGCTTCACAAACCATAATCAAAGAACAAACCAGTTGATTTAAACCCGAGTGAAGATAAGAGCTTAAAAACATATAGAAACCCTAATTCCTCAAGGTTCTCGACCCCTTGCCAAGTTATGTTGTTAGTGAATGTATGCAATGTTAAATGACCTAATGGAGTTATGTACATGAGAAAAGCGCGACAATGCATAAGCTAGATAAAAGTAAAAGGGTAGGACAAATTTGGGGTATTACACAAGGAACTCTCATTTGTTGCCCCCCTCTGCTATATAGGTGGTTTATTTTGCACCTTTCTCGGTCAATAATGCAGAATGATTTAGGTTTAAGGTGGAGTCAAAGACTAATGTCTCTCTCTCACTCCGACATCCATTGGTGTCCTCGCTCTCAAGAAGATATCTCTTTTATTGATCGCTGCGGAGAATTTCCTAATGTGCCACTCCTGGTCATTAGGGGAGGCATCACCTACAATCCTTCTTTAGCACTACGTTAGTTTGGCTATGCACGGAGAGATGGTCCACCGGATATGCTCATCTAGGGTATTGTGTTTAACTACTCAGATGATTTTCAAAATTATCGTCAGAGGATCATCCGCGCTTGGGGCATTATTAAGAAGATTGATAGTATGACTTTGGGGTGCAAGAACTCAATCCCTTTGGAACCTTACCTCAAATGGGTGCGATCTTGAGCCCAAAGTCTTATGATGCCATATGATTCCATCTTACCGATGATCCTGGAACCTGTTGTTCAAGGGGGTGAGTCACGTATTATCCTCCATCCTGATATGCCAACCAACTTCGAAGAGTTGCAAAAGTCTTGGATCCATGTCAAGGGAGAACGAGATACTTTTGAGGCTCAATTATATGCAAGTGAGAAGAAGGTGCTAGAATTAACAAAGCAGCTTCACAAAGAGAGGAACCTCAACACCTACCTTAGGAGTTAAGAATTTCCTTTCAATGTTTATCCCTATGTAATCTTTTGTTTCTTTAAAAACTTACTAATAAAGGGTTTTTCTTCTTGTTTTGTTTAAAAGAGCTTAAATCCAATAAGGTCCTTGAAAACATTGCATAAGCATATCATGCATCTCATTGCATAAGCAGTTCTCAAAGCAGGGTTCTTATCTTCTTCACTGTTCATTTCAGCAAGTAAAGAAATGGCTCTTGAACAAAACATCAAGGATCTCCATGTGCAAAACATCAAGTTCCAGCAAATGATTGTGGCTCTAGCTAAAGGGCAAGAAGATCTAAAAGCCCTCATACTGAAAGATAAAAAGAAGAAGCCAGACAAACCAACTGGGGTAGTGAGTCTGGGAAGAAGGATTAGAGGACCAGTGCAGTGAGTTTCTGAACTGGTAACTTCATCAAAAGAAGGAGACAATCAAGAAGAGGAAACAAGAGAGGAAGACTCTAGTCTGAAGGAATCCGATGATGAATCTGACTATAATGAGGAGTAGTATCCTCCTACTGATGAAAAATACAAACAACTGGAGGATTGTCTGAATGTAATAGAAATTCATAAGGTACCGGGGCTGGATTTTGAAGACTTGGGTTTGATTTCTGGGATTGTCATCCGGTAGAAGTTCAAGGTTACGGTGTTTGCTAAATATGATGGGGTCCCATGTCCCAAGATGCATCTCTGATCTTATGTGAGGAAGATTTAACCTCACACTGCAGACAAGGACTTATGGGTCCACTTCTTTCAAGACAGTCTATCTGGGACTCAACTAGAATGGTTCTATCCGCTGGAAGGGACCAATATTCGTAATTGGGAAGACCTGGCTACTGCTTTCTACAAACAGTATTAGTATAATGCAGACCTTTCTCCCACCCGTACGCAACTCAAAAGTATTTCTATGGGTTCGAGCGAAGGTTTTAAAGACTATACTTAGAAGTGGAGGGACTTAGCAGGAAGAGTCCAACCCCCCTTGTCTGATAGTAAGTTAGTGGATATGTTTTTGGGTACCATATCTGGTCCGTTTTTTAATCATCTAATTGGAAGCTCCTCACCTGGCTTTACTGAGTTGATTTTGACAAGAGAAAGAGTGGAAGCTGGGATCGGAAGTGGCAAGATTCAGAAGGATACCTCTTCAAGTGCGGGAAAGAGACCTTTTGTAGGTAAAAAAGAGGTCAATGTTGTTTACAATCAATGAAATTAGGGCAAAACCGAGCACCGTCCAACGGGATAATCAGCCTAGACCAGAAAGACCTGTAAGACAATTCATCCGGGTAAATATGACTTTGTATCAAGTATTGCCTCACCTACTGAAATCCAATCTGGTTACCATGAGGGAAGCCCCCAAGAATGCCAACACCACATCTCCTTGCTACAACCCAAATGCTTGCTGTGCTTACCTTCAGAAAGTCCAGGCCACGATACAAACGACTGTTGGGGTTTGAAAAACAAGGTGCAAGACCTTATTGAGGCAAAGGAGATTTAATTTGACGCTCCTGAGGTTCCCAATGTTATAACTGCTCCCATTCCCAAGCACAATTATGGTGTTAATGCTGTTGACGATGATACATTTGTTACTTCTGTTGAGGAACTTGTTACTCCTCTCATGACTGTTAAGTGGAATTTACTGCAAGCCAGTTTATTTCTGGGTTGTGGTGAAGATTGTCGCTTGTATTTATCTCTACCGACTGGTTGCTATTTGTTGAAAGCAGGTGTTCAACGCCTAATGGATGATAAAGAGATTCTATTTGAAAAGACTCCTGTCACAACTGTTTCTTATAAGGATGTTTCGATTATAAACATTTCCGCCAATCCTCCCAGGGTCTCCACCAAAAGACCCGTCAGGATTACATCTGCTCCAAAGTTGGCTCCCCTGATTATCACTATGCCAGGGCCAATCCCATACTCCTCGGACAAGGTTGTTCCCTGGAACTATGGCGTCAAGCAAGACATGTTGGTTACTGAAGACTAAGTTTCTGGAAATACTGATCCCGACATTGGCAACATCGTTGAGACCAGCAAAATAACAAGAAATGGAAGAGTGTTCTCCCCTGAGATTTCTCCTCCAAAAGCCATTACTATTCCTGTGATCATTCCTAATGTTGTTCCTGCTGATACTACCACCGCAATTCCTGTGATTACCCCTGTTGCCACCACTATCACCGAGTCAGTCGAGACTCGGGGCAAAGACATATTAATTGAGCCTGTCTAGACGAAGGCACATTCAGAATCTATTCTAGAGGCTTCCAAGAAGGAAATGGAAGAAATATTGAAGATAATAAAAAAGAGTGACTACAATTTGGTCGAACAGTTGGGGCAGACCCCTTCCAAGATTTCAATGCTGGCCTTACTGTTGTGCTCCGAAGCTCATGCAAAGGCTTTGGTAAAATTACTCAAAACTACCCATGTGCCCCAAGAAACCTTCGCTGACCAATTTGAAGATTGTGTGGCAAGTTTAACGGCTGATAACTATTTGGGTTTTTCTGATGCTGATCTAACACCCTGAGGAAGAAAACACAATGTTGTGCTGCATGTCTCGACCGAATGCAGGGGCACTACTTTGGCGCATGTTCTAGTAGATATCGGTTCATTGTTGAACGTGCTACCCAAGAAGGCCCTGGACAGATTAGACTGTGAAGGTTTGACCCTGAAACCCAACAACATTGTAGTAAGTGCTTTCGATGGT